TAAATCTGATCACATATGCCACTCCTTTGCCTAGAACCCTCCAGTAGCTTCCCACCTTACATAGTGAAGTCCAAACTCCTGACTATGTTCTTCAAAGCCCTTTTCTGTGATGTCTCCCACTCACATTTTCACGTGTTTCATTTCCCTTTGTTATTCCATCATTAGCTTAATTATCACCTATCACTGTCTCAAACTTCCAATCTAAAGAAATAGATCTTTGCCCAACTTATTTTTAACTTTTTTTACAAGTGTTGTTTTTGAAATTACTCATTTCTTTATCGTCTGTGTCTCTCAGAAGAATACAAACTCAATCGATGAGAGAATAACCCTTGTCTCTTTTGTTTCTCATTGTGTTTAAACCACCAAGAAGAGTACCCAGCACACAGAAAGATCTTACTAAATATTCCTTCAAAGAATATATACTATTTAGAGTGAGCATATCTGTATCTGAATTATAGCACCTTTGCTTTAGAATTATTTTAACTTTCAAAAATTTGAATTGATCTTAATTTAAACATTTCAAAAGGAAGAACATCACATATATTCAACATAACCAAGACAACATAGGCTGTGTGCTACTGTTTCTTATTCTTAATGTCTTTGTACAACATGAAAGATTTAGATACAAATGAATTGAATTTTTGTTCATATTTTAACTTTGATTCTCACAGTGCCAGAATTAAGGTCAAACTTGATTTTCTGGAAATAGTTGCCTATTTTTGGTTTCTTGATCAAGCAAACCAGCATCATTTGGCATCCTTACAAAAATCTTTCCTGCTTCTGTGGGTTTTAAAGTATGTGGTGGGAAAGACCAGCAATTATTCATTCAGACATTGGCATATTGTTTGATGAAATTGTTAGCAGAATGGTCAAAGGAGAAATAATTTAGGGATTAAATGAGAGAGGCAAATAAAATTTTATTTGGTTTTCCTTTTCCTTCTACAGGCTCAACGCAAAAACTATGATTTTGACTGCTTTAGGAAAACATAATAAATTAGCAAGTTTTTTGTAGTCAGCAGCATTAAGGATCTGTCTAAAAATATAAGCATGCTGTTTTAGACTGATGGTTGACGGAGGAGAATCAGGGTTGGGGGACTGGGTGAAAAGGGGGTTGTGGTGTATGGATTGGTAGTTACAAAATAGTGACAGGGATGTAAAGTACAGCATAGGGAATATGGTCAATAATATTGTAGTGACTATGTATGGTGGCAAATGAGTACTGAGAATATTGTGGTGACCAGTTTCTAAAGTATATGATTGTCTAACCACTATGCTGTATGCCTGAAACTAATACAAAATAATACTGAACATAAAAAGGGGAAAGACCCTGGCTGGCGTAGCTCAGTGGATTGAGCACGGGCTGCGAACCAAAGTATCACAGGTTCGATTCCCAGCCAGGGCACATGTCTGGGTTGCAGGCCATGGCCCCCAGCAACCGCACATTGATGTTTCTCTCTCTCTCTCTTTCTCCTTCCCTTCCCTCTCTAAAAATAAATATAAATAAATAAATATTAAAAAAAGGGGGAGAAGAGATGTCAGGAACATATATAAAGGACACATGGAGAAAGCCAAAAGGAGGTAGGATCAAGGGTAGGAAGTGGGGATGGCTGGGCTGGGGGGTAGTTCTGGGGGGTGGGGGGAGTGATGGACAAAATTGTACTTGAACAACAATAAAAATGTGAAAAAATAAAAATAAAAAATAAAATAAAACAACGTGATTGAAAATTAAACAACACAAAACAGGTACTTTGTTTTAGTGAAGAGCCACTAGGTTTGGTGCAGAATATGAATGTCTTCACTTAAAGTTAAACAAATATTGCTCTGACCAGTGTGGCTCACTTGGTTGGATGTCATCCTGCAATGTTAAAGTCCACCACTTTGATTCCCAGTCAGAGGATATGTGTGGGTTGCAGGCCCGCACATAAGAGAGGCAACAGTTCAATGTTTCTCACACTGATGTTTCTCTCCCTCTCTTTCTACCTTCCTTCCTTTCTCTCTAAAAATAAATAAATAAAATATTTTTTAAAAAGTTAACCAAATATCTTCCAACTAAATTTTTATAGAATATAACTGGCAATCATAGGCTATTTTAAGTGTTTGTGTGTACTTTTTTTTTCAAGTCCACGTGTGGGAGGATCTTCATCCCGTGGAGCTCTCCTGGCCATTGCAGATCAGAAATAAACTGTACTGGAAATAATTTTGTTGTTCCCATGGGAAAGAGGGTAGCAATTCCCTCTAGTGGAGAACGTCCCAAACCCTTCTCCCAAATGGCTTTTATTGGGAATGGTATGTGCTGGTATACACAGCATACAGGCATAGCTTATCAATCAATGTCAAAGGACTATAGTCATACAAAAAGAGGTATCATCTATAGATAACAATTGAAGGAACACAGAGATATGTCATAGGTCAGGGTCTGTGAGACATGCTGATGCCAGATGGTCTTTAAGATGTGTTTCATGAGATACTTCAACATCCGGTTTATATCAACAGGGCTATGCTAGGCAGAACAAGCTTCAAAGTATAAAATGTATGTTTCAGGCCTGATTCCCACGGGCACCCTCGGCATTAGAGTTGGGTCCTGCTTGCTACCTGCATTACCTGGTTTTCCAGGGAGAGACTTACTAACCCCTTCAGAGCTTGCTACAGTCTCTGAAACCACACAGAGCGATCCCCAACAGCTAGGTCTCAGTTCCAAAAAAGTCTTAACATATTCTAGGTTACCTTAATGACTAATGAATTGGACATTCAGAGATTTGCAGTTAAAACCCCAAACCACCTCACATAATCAAACAAATTGTGTGAAATATTATAGTTACTCTTAAAATTCATGGAGATTTTGTTTTGTCAACCAGAAAACTCCCTTCTGGAGTCTCAATAACTAATTTCCTAAATCTATGAGTAAGATTATGGTTCAAAGAAATATGATGCCTAATCACCAGTCTAAATCCTCAGCAATTTGAGAGGTAGAATTTAGGTATTGGTAAAATATCAAACCATCACAAAATATTGGAAATGAAAGAAAACTTAGAGAATATGGGCCCCCTTTTTTGGTTTAGAGAGGGTAAATAACAGTCCAGCAAAGTACCGTAAAATTTATTAGCACCAGTGATTGCTCTTGAATTCTGACTTCCTGTCACACTGTCTGGTCAGCCTCTAACCAGCCCTACACTGATTTGCCACTGCTTGTTACTACATTGCTGTTCAATAGAATCTCATATTTCTGGGCACTTTATTTAATAACAAAACAATATAGAATAATCAGCACATCTTATTATGATAGATTTCCAGAGATGGAAGCTCCTATTAAATAATCTTCTGAATACTTTTCAACTTTCTATAATAATATACTAGGACAACACTAAGATGGTACAAGATAAAAGTTGCAAAAGTGAGTGGGCTGTGGGAAATAAATGAAAATAGTAAAGACTCTCCAGCCCTGAACATTTTAAATGCTGAATCTATATCTTTTCTGGAAAGCCATGGTAACTTTCTGCATTATTATCATCCATTCTAAGTACTTTGGTAGTCAACATTGTCAGTGACGTGCTCTGAGAAGTATGGTTACAGAAGTAATGTGCACTGTGCTTGACTTACTTAGTTTTAAAATGCTACTGGATGATGTGTTAAAACCATTATCACAATTAAATTTAATTTAATTGACCATTTAATTTAAATTTTGACCATTTAAAATTATTTTATTTTTTTCTTTAAAACAACTACAACAAAGACATATGGTTCAAAATGAGAGAATAAACTATGTAAAAACAGATGGAAACCAATGTCACCTCAATAAATTAAAAAAAACAGATGGAGGTGGTTTTATTGGAAGATGGATTAAAACTTAAGAAATTTCTTTATATATTTTTTCTTTCTTTTTTTTTCATTCTATTTTGGACCAAATGTTGTATATTCAGTAAGTTAGCAAGAGGAGGATTTATTTCCACTACCCTACCCCCACCCTCAGCGTGACACACATACTCATATTTACAGATACCAGATTGTTGCTTTTATAATCATGGAAACCTGACCAAAGACCAGAGATGTGGAGGTGAATAAAATTAAAATTTGGCCTATAGCTTTTAAACAGTATATGTTGGATCTTTTTAGAGATTTATTTGTCAACAACAACAACAACAACAAAAACTCCTTGTAAAATGAAAAGAGGATTTTTATGGAAGAGAAGCATTTCTATCAAGAGGCCCTAAATAATAGTAACCTCAGGTTTTGAAACCACTCCCCCAAACATGTGATTATTCTCTAATTCTTTGCCTCAGCAAATAGCCATTTTAACTAGACTCTGAGGCAAGCAACATTGTGTCCATGGTAACAGGTATAAAAAGAACTTTTTTAAAAAAAGGAAAAAAAAAGAAAAAAATGTGATAACTGAAAATGTGTTTAAATCATGATAAAAGGATTTAAACAGATGTTATTTTTTTAAAGTGTTATTTTAAAAAAAGAATTTTAAAGGGCTCTTGATATGAGAAAAAAATCATATTTGGATGCATCTTCAGGGAAAATTTCTCACTCCTAAAGGCTGCAGTTCATGATTGCCATGGGTGAGTTGGGTTAGAGGCAAATGAAAGAGATCCCAGAGGGGAGAAATCAGTAAGGAATACCAATGTATTTTCAGTTATGTGTGTAAATTTAAGTGAAAGGTCTTCAACATTATTTAATAAATTGTGTGTATACAATTAATTTTTGTTAAAGTTTGTGTTCAGAAAAGAAACAGTGCGGGACTTGACTTTTAGAGAGGAGTTGGAATGTGGGTAAATCAGGACATGTTGCTTAGAAACTTTAATGAAAGGCAGAGCAGAAAGCACTGCCTTTCTGTGATAGAAACACTATCTATCATGGTAGATACGCTTTCTACAGCTTTAGGCAGTGACTACCATGCCAAATGTTTTTTTCTTTTATTTTCTTCTTTTGTTTTACTGTGAACTTGACCTTCTCTCTTTCTCTCTCTCTTTCTCTCTCTCTCTCTCTCTTTTTTTTTTCCTGTGGGTGCCAGGATCAACAATCACTAGCTGCCCAGGTACCAAAAAATCATGCTTCCGACATCTCTTGATGTTGATTTCACATGTAGAGCAATCAAGCTGTCCTATGTGTGCATCTCATGATTGAAACCCTTTTTTTCACCTTCTCTATTTTATATGCAGATACGTACTTTAAAAAGTACATACATTATTTGTTTGTTTATTTGTTTATTTATTTATTTTAATAGAAATGGAAATGGGCAAGGGATTTTTCCTTTCCTAACAACCCAGGCTTTCAGAATCGTTATGAACAAGGACAGAGTAAGATAAGGCTTGTTCTTTCTCATGTTCATTTTTCTTTTTTTCTGCCAGCAATTGCCTTCTTTAGGAACAGTGATTCTGTCACATTGTTTTAGAAAGAGTTATAACTCTTGAAAGTTAAATGTCCCTCAAAGGGCCCAGGCAAGTTCCATGGAACTAAGTGAAGGGTAAAGTTATAAGAGGAAACCCAGAGAGAGTAGGAGGAAAGGAGACTTTGAACCTGGCAAAAGGATGGCTTATTTTGGCTAGACTCCTCCTGTAGTTTAAATACCAACTGATTGAAAGCAAATTGGATGTTAAGGAAGGCTGGAGTGCCCATGTAAAGAAAAACAAACAAGCAATGACCCTAAGTTAGTCTTGGAGGAGATCAAACCTCTTGTTTTGCCTCGAATGTTGAAAGAACCTAAATATTGCTTTGTGTACAACATAATTTTTATTCTTTGTTTTTTGCTAAATAAACTGGTTGTCTGAAATAAAAACACCAGTTGGTGGAGGTAAAGTCTGAGGAGCAAGAGAATGTGGGAAAATTGAATTTAAAAAAGTAGAACTTAAAATACTTTATTTTAAAAAATATTGCTAACATATACTATTACATTAGTATTAAGAATGCAGCATAGACAACATTAATATACTTTAAAAAGTGATCACCACATTAAGTTGAGTAACCATCTATCATTTTAAATTTGCACTCAGATTTGTTGTTTAAATTAGTAAGCTTTTAAAGATTTAGTACATCTATATTTATCATATGGAATAAAGATTAAAACAGCATAGCAATAATTATAATACCTTTTATTGAACAGTGAATTACATTGCATCTATCATTCACAACTTCATATAGTACTTACATAAAGACATTCCTATTTCTACACATAAACAGACAAGCTCATGTGCACACATGAACACATGCTCATGCACACACACACATTCATACCTACATGGAATCAGGAAAGAAGTGGCTTTCCCTTACTTGCACATGTGATCTCTATTATAAAGAGATTTTGTTCCCGCCATTTCATCACAATGTGGGTATAAATACTGGCTCCAGGTAATTTAATATCACACCCTGAAGTTTCATGTTACCCTATTTCAATTTGTCTAAAAGCATAATTGTATGTATTGTTAATACACTAGTAATAAAAGGAGAATCTTCTCAAAGCATGTTACTTACAGAATATTAATAGGTGTCCCATGAGCATAAGGAATCCATAGTTACATATGCTTACAGAAATGATGAGTTAAGATGATAGTTAAATGATAAAGTTAAAGTCTTTTTAAATGAAAAACTTCTCAAGAATTTTATCTATTGTTATTAGTCTCTTAAATGACCATTTCTTCAGGATTTGCCAAATGATTTGTTCACAGAGTCTTATTTTTACAGCATCATTTGAGAAAACTATAACGTAAGATGGGAAACATTGACAAATAGAAGGTGCTTTGGTTTAAAAGGTTGCTGCTCAAAGATGACATCCCTTTGAAATGAATGCTAGTTACAGTTTTGTACCCTTTCTAGGCCAAGCACTGTAAAACAGCTTGCTTTATTCTTGGGATAACTCCATGAAATACATGTACATATCTACAGTTAGTGGCTAAAACTAAGATCCAGAAAGGCTAAATATTTTCCCTAGTTCATGCAGCTAACAGAGGAGATGAAGCTAACATTTGAAACAGCTTTGTTTTTCTTGTAGGCTGTGTTCTTCCAGAGATGATACTTCCTGACTTATTTTTTCAAATTTAAGATTTGATCACAGTCCAGACATTTGATCCAGTCCAGTAAAAGCAAAAATATATTTTTTAGAGAGAAGAGTGAGGAGTAAGTATGTCTCTTTATAATTTCAGAGGTTCCAGAAAGCTGCCCCCCTTCAAAATATCTGCTCAAAACATCTATATAATGCAAAAATTATAAATAAAAATACTTTGCTTAAAAATATTCCTTCAGCCCCACTAGACTTGCTTTCCATCAGTAAAGGTCTGATACCATTTTTGTTTTCTGTTCAATAAATATGTTATTGGGCATCCCTGCGACAACTAAAAACAATTTTATTTTCATATTTAAAAAATGTAAATATTCTTGCATATTTTTAAAGATGTCTCAACACTTTATAGACATTTCTGAGTGTGGCTAAAAAGCAGCATTATTTAGAGAAAACTTAAAAACAAGTTGAAATAAACAAAGCCAGACACTTCACCAACTAGGCTTTCTTAAATATCTAACACTGGAATTCAGACATTTTTATTATTTTTTTAAAGTTCCCAGGTAATTTTAGTAATTATTACTTAAAACTTTTTCAACATTTTAATTTCTCAGTGTAAATGGACCCATGAAAAAGACATTATGGTAACACAGGGGAAAAAATACACTGGGAGTCACAGGATTTAAGCTGCAATCCTACCTAGCCTCTCCACAAAACCTCTGTTAAGACCTTAAATGGCATAAATCATCTCCCTGGGCTTCAACATCTGTCTTTGATGCTGGGGATACTAACATTCCTCAAACCATTGTTGTTTTTAATGTTATTAAAAGATACAATGGATGCAAAGAGCAATTTGCACACTTATATACTTGACATTTCATCTTCACTCTTGAGACAACTTCATTCTTGGTGGCACACGGAAGTGTTAAGCTGCCAATTGTTTCCACTGGGGGCAGACAGGCTAATAACAAAGGGAAGGGAGCAAAGCTAGTAATAGGAGCTTCCTGGAATTTATCTTTTGCCCTTTCCATATTTGTAATTCTTCCCTGGGTCTTCTTCCTCAGAATAAAAGTAAAGGGACACTTGAGCTGCAGGTGCTTCTCTCACCTCTTCCTGATGAGTTCTGGATCAGTTTAGCTTGTTTAGCATTTCCCATTGGTAGTTAGTACTACTTAAAATAAGGTTAAGTCAGCACACCAGACCATGCTCAAAGTTTCATCCACACTCTTGATTACTTGATATTTAGATATACTAACCTCAGAACATGAGTTAATAAACAATGAGCCCCAGTGTATTGTACTATATCAAGAATTTGGGGAGCAGTCATAAAAAAAAGAATGTCTTGTTAAAGATGAAATCATATGGTATTTGTCTTTCACTGCCTGGCTTACTTCACTTAGCATAATGCTCTCCAGTTCCATCCATGCTGTTGAAAAGGGTAGGAGCGCCTTCTTTCTTTCTGCTGCATAGAATTCCATTGTGTAGATGTACCATAGATTTTTGATCCATTCATTTACTGATGGGCACCTAGGTTGCTTTCTGCATTTGGCTATTATAAATTGTGCTGCTCAACTTTAACAGGAACCTAATCAACAAAACAAACAAACAAGCAAAATATAACTAAAGACACTGAAATTGAGAACAGGCTGATAGTGATCAGAGGGGAGAGGGGAGGGAATTTCAGGGGAAAAGGGTGGACGGTTTGCAGGAACAAGTGTAAAGGACACATGGACAATAACAAGAGAGGCATGGAAATGGGAAGGAGGCCGGGAGGGCTCGGAGGTTGGGTTGGGATGGGTGTAAAAGGCAGATAACTGTACTTGAACAACATTTAAAATAAAAATAAAAAATTAAAAAAGAAACAAAAAAATGTCTTAAAGCAAATTCTTTTTAATAGTAAACATGTCTCAAAGGTGAATAATTCAAAATAATATTTGAATATAAAAATAGAGATTGCATATTTTAATTAAGTGGCCAATTTATTTGTCAAATGGATATAATGTCATATAGAAACTTAGATTCATCTTTGTTTTGATTGGCTGATTTTCTGGGCACGTTGACTTGAATCAACCCTGAAACCTCAAACCATTCACACAACATTAAATTGCCTGCTTCTGAAGATTCACATTCATTGCTGTATTTTAAGATATTTTTTCTACTTGCATATTAAATGTTTTTCAGTTTCCAAGTGCAACATCTCCTTCATATAATACTGTGAGATAGTATCAAAGTGCTATCAAAGGAAAACAATGTGTTTTCACATAAAATGAAAGGATCTAAATCACTGTAATACATATTTTTTAAAAAATTATATTTATTTATTTTTAGAGAGGGAAGGGAAGGGGAAAGAGAGAGAGAGAAACATCAATGTGTGGTTGCTGGGGGTCATGGCCTGCAACCCAGGCATGTAGCCTGACTGGGAATCGAACCTGTGACACTTTGGTTCACAGCCCATGCTCAGTCCACTGAGCTACACCACCAGGGCTGTAATACATATTTTAAAATTAAAATTAATTTATTTATGCTTCTCTAATGTCTGAAAAAATTTAAAATTGTTCCCAAACTTAGTGATATCACAAATTTGTTGTTATAAGAAGATCCCCCAAAATAATTTTTGTGTTTTTTTGTTTTACATTTTTATGAGTTGTTTCTATAAGATTTATATATGAGTTAAAAGACAATGAAAGAATCATCTTTGACAAAACTGACAATCCCTGGATAACCATTACATAAGTTACTACACCAACCAAAAAAAAACCCAAAAATTATTAGCCAAATTCCATTTTGCTCATTATCCAGCTCTTCCTTAAAAGAAAACTATATCATCCAGAAGTAAGTTGCTTTACATGAAATTGCCTATGTTAACCATTTTTATTCTCAAAAGTGGCAGTTTCTTATGGTTCTATTAAATATTATCAGACATATAACATCAGATAATCAAGTTATTACCACATTGGATCACTTTTGAAGATTTGGGGTGTTCTGAAGACTGATGATGACTATGCATAGTGCTGACACTTATAAAACCGTACAGCTCTTATAGGACTCAAAGTTTTTCTATTCACTAAGAAATAGTGACAAAAAATACCTGAGTAAATCTCACATAAGTTGCTACAAAAAAAACACATATTTTAATGATCATT